AAAAATACTACTATTTATTAAAATAACTTATGATCCAGATAGTAAACCGTCATCAAATTTGTCGTATTATTTTTAAACGTGATTTAGAATAATCTGTAATTTTTTCATAATTTTATCATTTTTAAAATATGTATAAAACATCCTTAAGACAAAATCTCTATAGAATTCGTTGTTCTTAACTTTTTTTGATTTTAAATATAATTCTATTAATTAATTTAATACATTTATTTGTATTATTCTTAAAGAAATAATGCTGATAAAGTTAATCGGAGATTGATCAAAATCGCAAATAATGATTTTTTTAAGACTTAAAAAAGAATCAGGTTTTTTCATTTAAAAAATAGATATAATCTACACACACACAACACACACACACACACACACATTTTTAAATGTAAATTCAAAAATATATGTATGATATATTTCATATACTATACATATATCTTCGTCTATTTACTGTAATAAGAACAATATATAGAAGAAAATATTTAAATATTCTTGCGTGTGTGTTTGTGTGTATTTCTTTCAAATATATTTTTGATTAAAATAAAAATGGCATTATCTACGATATTTCGCAGCAGGAAATCAAGATAAATATTCAGTGTATCGAAGAGAGAGTCTGAGAATGTCGAGCCCAAGAGGATCTGTTCGCGAAGGCACAAGAATCGTACTGAAAGAAATAACCGCGACTCTCCACAATTCTTCGCCAATTCATCCTTCTCGACGAAAGGTACTAATATCAAATATTTTATCATTTTAGCATTGTTTTTCTTTGTTTTTTATTTGCTTAAGAGAGAATTATTCTGACGCGCAACGATGAGAAAAGCGTGGCGGGAATGTATGGACTTTCGCGAGACGACTTTTCTCACGTTCGTTTGCGTGAAATTAATGGTACGCTTTCAGGAAACGACGACGACCGATGCACCGCCCGCTCTTATCGTTCGTATATTCTCTTTACACCCTTCTTCGCGCTTCCTTCTCCGTTTATGCGGCTGACAGTCAGACCGGAGAGAATGTATTTCTATAAATAAACTTCGTATCTCCAGAAGTACTTTGAAACAAAAATAAGTTTTGCTTCCCGCCACGCGGGAGCATTTCTTTGATGCATGAAGAACGCGGATTTGTTTGTAGATATTTTTCATTTCGATTCGAGTTTTAGTGCTGAATTCTCCAATGCTTTCATCCGCTATAAAAAGATAGCTGAAATATACTTTGAACTCGAAATGGATTAACTCTTTTGAGAATTAGGTGGATGAAATCTTGTATATGATATAAACAGGCATGAATATAAATATTTAATAATTTCTTCATAAGTATTTCACCCATTTCTTTTTAGAATTATTTAAATTTCTCCATTTCCTCTGTATTAATTTTTATTTGATAGATTTTCATGTTTCTCCATATCAATATAAATCGAATTATTTATGGCGCAGAGCAATACTTTGTCGCTTTCCTGTATCTTTCTGCGTCATGACGAGTATGTGAATAACGATTATATGGATTATAACATGCGTTAACATTGCGGCTATATTGCAGATATTGATTGGCGATGTAAAAGATATTTTCATTTTCATCGAATCGTCTCACCGCGATTCCTCGTAATCCTCGTACCGATGTCCTTCCTTTTGGGTGTTTCGCCCGGAGTGGAATGGCTCTTTAACATACTTTGTCTCTTATCTCGCGACGCTCCGTTACCAAGTGTGTTCCCATCGCTCCAGATAGCGCCACACCGATCGGTTGTGCGACTCTTACGCGGCTCGATGGTCGAGATTGTCGAGAATCCTGTTCCCACCACTTCCATAGTTGGTGATCTTTGCGGCATAATGTCCGTACCGCGTACGGCGTGTGCGCGGCTGGACGCGGTATGGCTCGGTGGAGCTAGTGTTAGTACGCATCATCGTGGCATGGTGGAGGCGATGTTATCCGCGGTGCAGCTTTTGCCGATGGTCCGGTTGACGCGCGACAACGTCGTGTGAAGCTCTTCTTGACGCCGAGGATTTCTTATTTAGTTTGTAAGAGGTAAGGCGGTTCCCTGTTGTCTTATCCTTTCCCTCAGTCTCTTCCTCTTGGACTTCTCACCTCGCGCGTGCACATGCATGTACATGCGTCGTGCTGCCGAGTGTGTCAATCCGACGATGACGGTGGCAGTAGTGTTGGTGGTGGTAGTAGTAGCAGCGTTAGGTACTAGTAGTGGTGGCGGTGCGGTGGAAGTCTGGAGTATCGACTAGGAACGCGCCGGGCTAATATTAGAATTTCGACTAAAGATATCTGCAGTTCATCTCCCGCCACCAGGCCCTAATTTTGGGTCTTCTTTTGCGCGGAACATCTTCCTTTTTTTTTCCCTTGGGACGAACGTCCAATATAAGCAGATAAGAATATCTTCGCATCGTATACTCCAATGCACGACCTCAAAAATATGTCACAACGATAGGTGTCGTGTACTTCGATCGATTAGAAAAGAGACTTGATTGACGTTTGTTGTTATTTAATTTTATCACTCGCTCTCTTTTACTTACTTTTTCTGTCTTGTTCTTTTCCTAATATTTTTTATTTTATTCGTGTCTTTTATCATTATTGCTCATTTTCTCCCCTTTTCGTTCTTAATGATCGTTCTTTTAATGGAGCACTCTCTTCTATTAATTGACTTTATACAGATTACAGATTAAATTTACCTATCCATGATTTTTTTACATACTATATGTAATTATTTTTTATCACCAGTATAATATTTCTCTGTTAATTGATATTTTTCAAATTGTTTTTTTTTTCCAAGAGTCAATATCCAATTCAGTATTAATAACGTAATATAAATATGACGAGAATTACGTGTGCCTCCTTGTGCAATTTCTTCTTATGTATATTGTGTGCGTTTTACCTAAATTTAGAAACATCATCGCTTGCATCAAAGTGTCAAGTGCCGTGTTGAAATACACATTAAGAACTAGAAAGAGAGGATTGCTTATCTTAGAGGGATGAGACAGACACACCCTGAGATAGCGATGAAGTCTCTGTCAGCACGGTCAAGTGAGAATGAGTCATTCCGACGGTTGCGTTGCAATCTCGATGATGTCAAGAACACATCGAACAAGGATCGCCGAATAAGGATCGCAAAACACTCGTGTCTCGTAATAAATTAGATTATCATTTCTTACGCTGTACTTGATATTTTTTTATTTCCTTTCCAGAAAGTTAGATTGTGCTTTTACGACGTTCTGTCTAATGAATGATGCAATCCTCGTTTTCTATTTTCTGAAAATAAATAATGTTAGTAAATTTTTTTTTTCGAGAATAATTAGTTATGCTATGTTTTATAATGAGTCATGCCTGAACAAGAAAGAGAGATCATAAAAGATGTTGATATGCAGTTAAGAAATATTTAGAATATAAAACAGATCGAATACTGCATTGTGCGTGGGTACGAAAGCGTGGGTAAAGTTCGAAATAACAAAGATTAATATTTGTATTAATTTCAAAATTATTCGTGCATGGTATATTTGTTCGGCAGAGGATAAAATTGTGTCAAGAGTAAAAACATAGAAGGGGAAGTGAAATCGTCTTATCGTAGGGTTCTTTGAACCCGTGTGTAAATATGGGATCACGTTGTACGTTAATGACAGTCAAAAGTGGAGATTCTTCGAAAAGTCATGGGGAATCTTCTTTTAAAGGTAATTTTGTGATGCGTTTAATAAAGCATTTAATTATTATTTCTCTTTAACGTCTCATCATTTTATAATGCGTGCAGAAACAGACAATGAGTTGGTTAATTACCGCGTGAAATACAATCGCGTGTTTGGAAGTATTATTTCTCAATCAGAGAGTTAGAATGTTCGTTGTTTCTCTCATTGTAAAATACAAAAAAAAAACAATATTCCTACCTATTTTCATAATAGTATATAGTATTAAATTTAATTATAAATATACAGCTAATGCGAAATAGTAATTGAGCGAATGTTTTCTCTAGCGAATTTATGCATCGATTACATTTCTTCACTTCACTATTACGATTTTTTTGGGAAGACATTCTTGTAGTCTTCTAATTTTTTTTTTGTGATGACTCCATGTTCTTCTGTATTGAACTGCCGCACGCCTTAAATCGATATTGTTATATCAATGCACACTTTGCTACAAGTTAACAAATGTCCACAATTTTCAGCATCTCTTTGCTCGGTATAGAGCAATTGTAGTGTTATCGAGACAGATATTTCCGTAGTTGTCGTCTTGCAAAAGCGAGCGGAACTGGCACTACTAAAGCCTTTCTCTCTCAATGTCTTATAATTAGCCTGAGCGAGGCGTGAAGCGATTACGCAATTTCTTTTACGAAAATCGTCAGATCTCGGACTGTCAGCTGACTTAGCGAAGTAGTCAGTAAGCATTGATATTTCGCAGATTACAGATTGGTTGCGACTGGCGTAATATGGAGTATATCCATAAACTTTTGCATCGTGCCACAAGCCCAAGAACGTCTCCTTCGCCCACGCTTATGGTATATTGCGTCGTATACGCCTTCGAAGGTGTTTTCTGTCAAACTTTCCTTGACACAGATTGACGTGATTGTTCATAAATCTTTGTGACAAGTAAAAATCGCAAAGAAAGTTTTTTCATTAAAAGATGTCCGACGGACATGAAATATTTCTGTTATATATACATTAAAGAATTCTCATAAATCGCCCATTATGTGTTCGATGGACACTTCATTTAAATTTGAAAGAAAAGAAAGAGATACGATAGTCTCGTAAAATATCTTAACGCATTTTTTTATTTTCAGAGCGGCAATGATAGTCCCTTGACTCTCCCGAAGACAGCAGAGCATGAGGTCAAGGTTCATTTTGCTCGCGAGTTTGCCGATGTAGAATCGGTCACGGAAAATCTCCGTTTGGCTCCGGAGAGTCTTTCGTCGGCCAGCAGTTTCCATAGTCTCAGCAGCACTCTCAGTACCAAGAGCAGTAGCGGCATATGTACCGATTCGACACCCCAAACTCCTGATAACGTAGCGGACACATCATACGTGAACTCCAACATACCCGGTGTAGAGGATTTGATCCTCGCGTGTGCAGACATCCATTTAGGAAGTGAACACGACAGTCAGGATCTTAGTCAAGATCAGACGTTTACATCGGCCATAGATGAGGTACCGTTTCCTACAAGAGATTGTTCCCTTAACGAAGATTTGTTGGACAACGCCGATAATGAAACGCAAGTGATTGAAACGAGTCCTCAATTATGCAAGACAGCGCCCTTGAATCAAACGCATATTTTGGGACCGTCTAATAACACACTTCCCGTTCAAGATTCACAGTTCGTAATTTCATATCCTCCTGCAGAAGAATACGTACTACAAGTAGAAGAATCGATTGATAAGCATATTCCGCTACAGGAAAGTGATAATACAGTAAGTGAGCTTGAAACGTGTAACATTGTGAGTAATCGTATAAAGGATTCACTGCCAACAAGTAACGTGAATGATAATCAGTTGAATATAACAACTACTATTTCATCCAGTAATACAACTTTCGATGCGATCGCGCTTAATGAAGAACAAACAATAAAAAACGATTGCGACGCCAAAACACTACCCCTAGAAGATCCACAGTCGTGTCCTACCGAAATTTCTGTTCCGTCCATATCCCCGTTAGCGCAATATGCGGATCTTTCGTTACCTAGTTTATCCAGTATATCTTCACCACTAGAAGATACTGATAGTAGTAAAACGAAAGAAACGAATATACAGACTTTATCAGAGCCTAAGCAGGATACGTTAACAGTATTGTCGCCTTCCGACAATCTCGATCAAAAATTGTGTGTATTATCGCAAGTAATTGTAAATAACTCTGTTACTCAAGCTGAAACGAACGAAATTATCAAGGAACAAAAGTTGCCTGAATTAGATGATAGTATTGTACCAGATAAAGAAGATAACATACTATTATCAAATAAGACCAGTATTATAGAACCAAAAACATCGGAAGTTGACGAAAATTTACAGACGAGTGTCGATAAAAAAGATTTAGAGGTAGAAAATAGCGTAGTATTGAATGAAATACAGAAATTATCTGAAGAAGAAATTGCCATATGTAATGAGACCCATGTTGTAGAAAAACAAAATAATTCATCAGAAACTGTAGTTATAGAAAAGGAAGAATGTATTGTGGAAAGTGCAGCTGCGACGAGTGCTAGTAAAAAAGACACATCTATTGAAACTCTCGATCGTACACTTACTTTACAAGAGATAGATATAAACTTTGCACCAGATGAAGAACAATACGAGGAATTTAAACCTCAACGACAAAGTACTACATTGTCGTTGATCAATGGACATATTGAAGAATTAAAATCTACAGTGGAAAAAGTTACTAATGAGCTACTTAATCCTTCACTTGAATTCACGGAAGAGACAGATCAATTTGTCAGTGCAACACCTGAATGTAAGTTATTGAAAGTTCTTTTTCGTAATTTTATTATTGAGATTTTTAGATAATTACATATGAATACTATTGTTTTTTTTCCAGTTTTCCAAGATCCTTCGACATTTGATTTTTTGTTAGCACGAAGTAATCCTACACATACAAATCGCCTTAGAACCGAATCTTTGTACGTTAAGTTTGACCCATTGGTATCGAATACCAGCATGTTGCCTCAAGGAAATGCCCAAACAATAAACGAAGAGAAAAATGGCAAAAATGAATCGCCACTTCCTGACGTTGGTACACCAAAACGTAATCCTGCCATAGCGGCTATAGATAGGCTGCTTTTTTATAGTCCTCTCCCTAATGCAACGATGCAAAAATCAGAGGAAGTTCAAGAAAAAAATGTAATTGAAAATCTTTAAATTACTATCTGTATTTTTAATTACCATGTGAAGTACTTCATATTAAGTTTTGATCACGAGACAAGCATTAAAAGCAAAATTTGTTTAGGAGCAGCCAGTAGAAGAGCCTAAATCAGACGTACCACTTATTGATCATATAGATATGAGTAAAGAACTTGAACTTGTAAGAACGACGGTACTGCAATTGGAGGAAGAATTGGAGAAACAGAAAAAGGAGCACGAAGCAGAATTGGAAAGACAGAAAGCAATCTTTCAGGAAAAAATTAATAAACTGCAAGCACAAATGTCACAAGAAATAAAAACCAAAACCCAGATGACGTAAGTAATTTACTCAAAATAAATCCGTTTAGATTAAATAAGTAATTCATTCAAAATAAATTCATTTAGATTAAATAAAATATGAAAACAATTGGTTTTTAGGGTTGTTGTGGAAGAATATGAAAAATCGATCAGCAGATTACTCGCAGACCGAGAAAGAGATCGTACAAGCTTTGAACAAGACAAGATGAAATTGCAAGAAGAATTGCAAGCAGCAAACCACCATCTAACTAATACGGAAGCAGCATTTAACGATGTGCACAAAAAATACGAAAGACTTAAAGGAGTTGTATCAGTGTATAAAAATAATGAAACTGTACTAAAAGAAAGTATCCAGGAAAATGTAGAAACCATAAAAACATTGGAAACGCGATACGATAAACTCAAGGAACATGCAATGACTCAACTAGAAAAGTATACTATCAATATAGACATATATGTCATACAATATTTCTCGGAAAAACAGATATCGTGATGTATTTTAATATCTTATTATATTTTAGGGCTAATCTGGAGTTGGATGGAATACAAAAACAGAATGAGGCGGAAACGGTCAAATTGCATGCAATGATAAGGAAAGCAGAACTTAAAAGCAATTCGCTCGCCGAACTTGTGGAGCAGAAATCCAAGGAAAATAAAGAACTGGCGAAAATCTTAGATGAAGTTATCGCCAGGGTCGGTCACGGAAACTCTGAATGAAAATGAGGTATCGCGATTGTGGCGCGATTAGTCTTTATTTTTTTACTTGTCCTTCACTGTCTTAAATACAAATATATGTTAGATACGATTGATGTATGTATACGTGCATTAACTCGTAAAGTTATTGCAAATTGCGTTTTACTTCAGAAAAACGCCTTTTATTAATTATTTATAAGTTGTGAAATATAACTATTTTAAAGCTAATAAAACTGTGCTTATATTAAAAACACATTTTTATTTATGCGATAAAAAATGTTCAATACCCTGTATGTGGGTGTAACAATATACACATCCCCATTTTTAAATCTTACCTCATTACTGTAACACATTTTATCTTATATTATTAAGTTATATAAAAATCATAGTGTAAACACACGTCGATTAAAGGTATAAGCACCCATATATTTGGTCATTTTAATAATGTTCTGTGTTTGCCAAAGATTAAATTTTTCATACAACTTCCTGAATTTTACTAATTGTACTAATGAGTACTGTCAATTTATTGGCCTAGTATCGACAAGGAACAGTACGTGATGTTTGGCTAATTTCAACATGCGATCGCTTGTACTTCCAGGTTTTCGTGGAATATTTCTATTTTCAAGATCAGGCATAAATTTTTTGATTGTGCGTGCCAAATTTGCGGCATATTGTTTAAATTTCGGATGATTCATGCCAATGCCTTTGCTTCGTAGGGCCTCTGCAACTGCCCAAAGTAATTTCTAGAAATAAGCAAGAAAATTATGTCTATCAAAGTATATAGCATATTAAAACATTAAACAAACAAAAATCAACGATACAAACCTTTCTATGAGTATCGCTTAGTTCGCTTTTTCCTTGATTGACAGACGTTTCATTTTTCGAAAGAATACTGCTCGACGAATGTCTATCCCATGTAACCTTTGACGTATTTTTTATTTCGTGCATGCAATCAAACGATAAACTTTTCGCCCATTTCAATCGTGGCCCTTGCAATTCTTCCTCACATTTTCTTTTTCTACTTTCTTCTCTTGAAGAGGTTTGTTTCGCATCTTCAAATTCGTTCTTTTTCGGTGTTGAAAATAAAACGCGTTTAATTTTTTGAGTGTCCGTATTATTTGTACCTAATAATTTGCTAGGACCCGCATGATCTGATGGGGGACTTTGAAACAATGCACGTTTCGAAGTTTCTAATTTGGATTTATATGGACTTGACTCATCTAGCATTAATCTCCGAACTACTTTCTTCTTTGCTGAACTTCTTGGGCTTTTACCTCGAGGACTCTTACCTCTTGGACTTTTACCATGTAGACTTTTACCTCTAGGACTTTTTCCTTTTTTATGTGTAAGTTTCCTGTATTATATAAAAAAATATGTGTATATATATATATATATAATTATACTCTATTAGTTATCATATTTTTTAATGGAATACATACTTAATTGGTAT